GACCTGACTGACAGGCTAGACTCCACCCCTTCGCCCACGTTGGCAGGAGATGGCGTCACTGCTGTGGCGGACGGGCAGCGAAAGAGAGGGAGGCCCTGGCCCGAAGGGCCTGATATGCGCGTGGCTCCAGCACAGGAACGAGGCCCAAGCACGGGCACCAGGCTGAGGGCAGTGCAGGACCCTGCGGTGCTGCGTTCCATCGTGCACGGGTCTCGATGGGTCAGAGCCAGTCTGATGGCGCCTAACAGCAGCCCTGTGGGGCACAGGGGTTACTCGCTGGGCTGCAGATGGCATGGGCCAGCGTTCAAAACCATAGGGAGGAAGACACTCGGGCTCTCTTCTCCCGTAAAGGGTTGCAGCCTCGGGTCTCTGTGAGTCAGCAGGGACTGATGGCAGTGAGCTTGGGGGGTCTGAGCCCTCCCTGAAGAATTCTGCACTCGGATGGCATGGCAGGTACATCATCTCCTGTCACCTTGAGGGCCTAGGCTCTCGGGGTGCAGCCTCTGGAGCCTGCGGTGCACCTTGAAGATCCAGGATTCAGGGTCCCGGGGTTCCGTGGCACCAGCCAGGTACTGTCGATATTCCTCACCGGCACCATCCTTCAAAAACATTGATTCTTGTTCTGGCCACCGTCCCCTGCCCGGACCGCTCCCCCACCCCACCCCCTTCCAGGGCCCGGCCACGCTCAGCCGCTGCCGCACCCAGGGATGAGCCTCTCAGTCTCTGTGGGGAGCACAGCCTGAGGGGCCAGAGGCCGGCCACACAGAAAAGCCCCTGGCAGCAGAGATGCAAAGCCTCAGAATCAGAACGGACAGCAGGAAGGAGGGTGTGAAAGGCGAATCCCCAAAGTCAAGGAGGAGACCAGAGGAGAAGATACAGCGCCAACCGTGTGCAGGCTGCGGCCATTGTCGGCAAAACTTCATCTCATGAACTCTGGACGTGTCATCCGGAGAAGAACCTGCTACGCAGTAAAGCCGCAGGGCAGCGAGAAAGAGGGAGCTCTTCCGCAGATGGGCGGGCACAGTGCCCACGGCAGTGCCCTCAAACATGGGGAGGCCTGTGAGGAAGGCACAGGGTGGGCAGTGTTTCATTGGTTCTGTTATACGTAGGTCGCTCTGGGTCAGAACCAGCCACACCTGACTTAACATCTCCCAGGTATGGGATCTGCTTTTCTGAAAGAGTAAATAGATGTGGATGTAGGCGGCTGAAGTTACCCTAACACAACCCCCAATTTGGAGTTTCCTTTCAGGTTCCCAGTAGCTTGTTGCTGGTGTGCACAGACACAGCTGGGTCCGGGGCATCTGACTTGTACGCAGTAACCTTGCTGCGTCTGCATGTTCACCCCGGATTTTCCAAGTTCAGAATCACATCATCTGAAATCAAAGTTTTATTTCTAATCTTTGCCTCCCTCATCCTCCTCCCCACCTGTGTTAGTGCAGGTAGACTAGAGAAACAAACCTAGGGAGACTCATGTGTGTAAGAGAGAAGTTTATGTCCAAGAGCAATTGTACATGAAGAAAACATCCCAGCCCAGTCCCGATCAAGTCTGTAAGT